CCTCGATAGCCATTATTTGAGGTATTATTAGACTGCTAGATAAAATTTATAAATCGAATGGATCCAGACTTAAATCGTGAATGAAATCACTTTCCTAATAGTACTTCAAACACTCTCAAAATGTCTTAGAGTCTACGCGCAGGAATATCCGTGATAATTCAACCTACACTAGAGTTTGTACAAGACCGATGAAAATTCTGATGTAGGGAAGATGAAACGTGAAAGTTTATATGAAGAGTATAAACTTTTGTAGTATTGTTTATGAATCTAGAATGCTCAATTTATAGGTCAAATAGGATTGTTTCACAAGGTTGCGACCCTCGATGAAACACACCTTTTCAACAACACTTTTTGTTCTGTATTGCATTTGTTTGTCTACCGTAACGCTTCAGAAGCATTGACAATTTCTAATTGCTTTCTACAATACTTCACGAAGTGAATTCACTTTCCTAGTGATTGTAATAAAAATTGTTCAATTATTTATTATCTAATTATTTATTGACATATGCTGTGATTAATTATTTGATTATTATTTTATTTATTAATTATTAATTAATTATATTAAATGATTTTTAAAATTAAATTTTTAATATAAAAATATGACGTAACAAAAAATGTGTGACATGATACCACGTACATAATATTATGTCAAAATCATAAAATGAGATGCCATGTACGTAAGTAAGTCTGGAGTGAGACTAAAAAAACACACACAAAATCAAATAGAGAGATTAAATGGTTGCAATTTTTTTAAAGGACACTAAAATTTAAAATAGTAAAACTGAAAATGCATTTAAACTAATTTTTTTAAAAAAAACTTAAGAAAATATAATGATTTTGATTCTTTATCAAATAGTTTATTTTAAAAAATATTGTCTTTTAATGATTTAGTACGATTTAAAATTTTAAATCAGTATATTTAACTAATAATTTTGATTCAATTCAATTTTAAATAAATTGAATTGCTTGATTCAAATTGAACGGCCTTTTAATTAATGATAAAAAAGAAAATGCAAATGATAAATATAAGAATTTTGATCAATTATATATATTTAAAATTATTTTAAATAGACCGGACATTATCTTTAAACTCTTAATTGATTATACAGTTTGATTTTTTATTAAAACGTATCATAAATAGTCCTAGTTTTTAGTAAGTAAATAGTGTTATTTGAATCACTAAATAAATGTAAAATTTTAATTGGTCGCATTGTAGCCTTAGAGTGTTCGCTTTTATCTATTATAAAATACACGTGTGAGTAAACCTTGGTGACTTCAATTCAACATGGATAAACTCATAGTGTATTCCACTATAAATCTCAAACATATCCTCTACCTAATGGAATTGTCAGCCCCTAATCTCTTAATTTAAGAAGGGTTGTAATATTAGAAAAACTTTAATTTAAAAATTTATTACACAATATTTTTAGGATTGAATTCAAATTTAAAATTTTAATTAAATTAAATAAAAAACTCATATCATTTCATTTCATCTAATCTCATCTAACAAGTGCTAACTAATTATTTGGTCAATCACCAAAAAGAAATAATTATTTAACGTTTTTTATCAATTATGTTCCACTATGACCACATGTTCCAGTAGGGTTCTAACTCAAATCTCTACGATACATCTATAAAGTTGATTGGTTTTAATTTTAAAATAATTTTTTATTCAAAAACATTAAGTTTAAGGATACTATGGCATAAGGAATCAAGAAAATTAATGAAGAAATGCAATAGAAATTAAGTATAATTAAATAAACTAATACATGTGAGAATATCACATAGCTTGCAAATCAGATTTTATAGCCAACAAAAAATTGTGGAATTATATATTTATTTATTTAGCTTAGTTAATCGATAAAATGATAATAATTATCAAAATTTATATAGAATTTTATTTAATAATATCAATATATTTTTTAGTCGAGTTAAGTGTTTTTTTTAATAATTCATTTATAAATATCAATAATTTATTATATTAACACATAAATATAAATAAATGTGATTACCTAAGGTTAAATTATAAACTAATCATTTATATTTTTTAAATTTTTTGTATAAAAAAATATATATTAAATGTCCATTAATGTTGATGCTTGTGCACTGCCCCCAAACTTTAATGGTTCATGCATGAAACATACAGGCTGGGTCTCACATGCAATAGATGTGGGTTTACATCAAAACCAAAGCCCAATATTTTGCTACTTTGTCTATTTTAAATGAAGAAAAATGGCAATTAATGTAGGAGTATTACCCAAGAAGGTCCCATAAAATTGAATTCAATTTGGTGAAGACAAGTGATAGGTCTAATATTTCATACTCCACTAATTTATAGACTAATTAGGTTTGAGATTGTGAAATACTGGTAGAGAAAGACTCTAAGTTGGACCTATTAAGTGATATTGTACCAAATAGTACATATCTAATAAAATAATGCAATATAAACCATTGGATTGTTAACTACAACTCCACAAATAATGCTATTATATTATATACATGTTGGTTCAAATATAGTCAAATTTCCATAAAAAGTCATACATATGTTATGGTCAAAATTGTCAATACTTGTATATATAATAGTAAATAATTTAGTTTTTTTAAATTAATATCAAGTTAATGTTTTGTGTCGGTAAAATAATAATCTTAAATTTTGTGAATGAAAAATAAAAAACACCTACTCTTATTTTTGAAAAGGTACCGATATTTTAGACAAATCTCACAAAATTTATATTTATTTTAAAATAAATCTATATATAAAAGCAATACAACTTAAATATTTGAATGATGGATACATGATTAACAAAAACTTCAAAGTTTCAAAATATTCACATATACAAATAGATTTAAAAAAATGAAAATTTTCAAATTTCTTTAAACAAGTCCATCATATTAATAGAAATTCCATATTATCTTCACATAAATATTTAACTAAATAGTTAAATTCAAGTTATTAACAAATTTTAACTCAAGTTAAATAGTGTGAAAGAATACAAGTGTGGGTTTTCCTATATATATTTATATAAATTACAAAGTGATAATAGTCATTTAAATATTTTGATATTTATGGATAAATAATTAATGTGATGTGATTTGATATAGTATTTATGGATAATATTTTGATATTTATGGATAAATAATTAAATAATGTAAATTTTTATCCAAATTTGTTTATGATAAAAGATACCGTCGATGGAGACCGCGCAAAAGAGGAAATACAATTGACAGATTTATTTGGGTCCCTCCAAGTACGGGTGAGTTATATTTCTTGAGAATGATGCTAACAGTCGTCAAAGGTCCAACTTGCTATGAGGATATAAAATTTGTGGGTGGAAAAGTTCAGGATTCTTTTAGGGATGCATGCTTCGAAATGGGCTTTCTTAACGATGACAAGGAATATGTTGCAGCCATCGACGAAGCAAAGAATTTGGGTTCCGGGCTATTCTTGCTTCAACCATTGAAGTTGTGGACAAAATCAATCATTATGTATTAGACTTGATATCAGGTACATGTGTTTTATATTTACTGTATTATTACATTCATAATATATATATATATATATATATATATATATATATATATATATATATATATATATATATATATATATATATATATATATATATATATATAAGAACATAGTTTTACTAATTTATTTATGTTTTACTTTTAAACTTTTTTTTAGGAGAAGAGAAAGAGTATTTGAGTTTTGATTCCATTGATAGAACAGATTCAAGTTATACTGAAGCATATGAAGTTCTAACTCCTGAATTTCTCAGTAAATTAAGAACGTCAGGGCTTCCTAATCATAGGATCAAATTGAAGGTTGGTACACCTATTATGCTAATGAGAAATTTGGACCAAGCCGATGGGTTGTGCAACGGAACAAGATTAATTGTTACAAGATTTGCAAATTATGTCATTGAGGCAAAAATCATGTCTGGAAAGAACATATGTAACATTTTTTACATTCCACGAATGTCTATGTCACCTTCTGATTCACCTTGGCCATTCAAGTTGATTAGGAGACAATTTCCGATTATTGTCTCATATGCAATGACAATTAATAAGTCACAAGGTCAATCTCTTGATAGTGTTGAATTGTATTTGCCTACTCCTGTGTTTAGTCATGGTCAATTATATGTTGCAATTTCAAGAGTTAAGAGCAAAAGTGGGCTAAAAATTCTAATTCATGACAAGGAGAATGTAACGTGTTCTACTACTACTAATGTTGTGTACAAGGAAGTCTTTCAAGCACTTTGATAGTTGGTAAACTTTATATCTTATACTTTACGATTCAAATTAAAAATCTATTTTGAATTAAAATATATAGTATGTACATTTTTCATGTATTTCAAGAAGTATATAATTTTTCCTATTTGTTCATGCAGACGTGATTTGTTGATAGGACCGACGCTTGCTACAAATATGAAGTTAAATGCCAACATGGTTTACATGAGACATATACTCAACTGAAAACATGATAACATACTTAATAATTTAATAATCTATAAATGTAATGTGAATCCAGACGAGACCCGTGCGATAGCACGGATTTGTTACTAGTTTATGGATAAATAATTAAGAAATGTGATTTGATTTAGTTTAATCATATAAAAATACTATTACAAGCACATGATCATATTATACACTATCTGATTTTACATTTTTAACGTATTATTTTCCGTTAATAATTAGACATATGAACCGTGAAAATAAATGAAAAATGTTTTAAATATTCTTGATATGGAAATGTAATTTCTTCTAAGTCAAGTATATAAAAACCTATTTGTATAATTGAATCCATAAAAATTACATTTCTTAACATAAATGAGTCATTTGAGATCTTGTGTGATAAGTCATAATATCCACACCAGTGTTTTATGCATGTGCTCTGTATTTCCCCTGTATTTTAACTTCACAAAGCCCTACAAATATCCTCATCAATTCACTTTCTCTCACTTGTATATCTTGTCCAAACTCAAAAACGCAAAACTAACATGTCAACTCCTTCATCATCATCTTCTTCAATTTGGATTCTATCTAACATGAAGCTTCAATTCTTTACACGTATCAAACGTTTTCTCCAATCCAAAGCAACCCGAAAACGCTGCGATATCTCTGATCAGTCTAACAAAGAAAAAACCATAACTAAGCAGAACAAAGCTGAAAAGATTGAAGCAGTTCAAGTTGTGGAGAACCATAAGGAGGAGGTGGAGGTGGAGGAAACTGAAATTCTGCTGCAAAAGACTGTGAAAATGCTTCACTTTGGAAGCTGGGAAGAGAAAGAGGTAGCTGCAAAAGAGATTGAATGTTTAGTTAAAGATGATGTCAAAGTTAGAAAGTTGATAACAGAACTTGGGGTGGTGCCGGTTTTGGTATCCATGGTGGCGTCGTCGGTGGTTAGTCGCCGGAGAGCAGGGTTGACGGCGTTGATCTACCTAGCTGATGGAACTTACACGTAAGTTTCTCGAATCTTCTTATTAACTTGTGTTGTGGTTGATTCTGTTTATAAAATAATTTTGATTAAAGTATTGTAAGAGAAGAAATCTTAAAGAATTAAAAATACTAGTGCTGAATTTGAATATGGGATAAGTAGCACTAACTTCAAATCATGCACAAGGTGCATGAATTAGGACAGATTCTCATTCTCTTATGGTCTTTCCATATTTCTTTTATTTTGATGTCGCATTAGAATTAAAAATATATATAATGACAGTCTCTCTTGTTCTGCAATGAATGTCACATTAACAAAATAAAAATATTTTAAAATAAATCTTATTTTATTAAATTTTATATAACTCTTAAATTCATTATACTCAGAGTATTTTATAGGGAAATTGGTGAGAGTTGAAGCATCATCGGTCCTAAATACTGAAGTAACTGCTGATTTTGACTTTGGAGAAAGTAAGGACAAGATTGATTAATACAAAGTGGTTGTTGTTGATTTGGCTGGTTTTTTCCATGACAATAGTAACCACTAACCACAACCAAACTTTTTTTTATATACCGAAATAGAGAACACATTCCCATAATTTTTTAGATTCAAATTCTTAACACCACAAAAAAATCTCAAATTTTATCAGAATTTTTCTTGTTATCGAAAATAAAATTTGATATTTTAAAATTTACAATACTCATATGCATTACACACTAATCAGTGTGTTAAAAATGAATCTATATTATATGAATACTATTAGAATCGTCTTTGAATACATGCAATACAGACTACTAAATATAACTCAATATTTGACACGGTTAAATCATGAAAAAATAAAACTTCATAAAATATTTTTTATACTTGAAACATAAAAAAAAAAAAATAGTCGTATTTGTTTTGCCATATACCTAAATCATAGCTAAGGTACACAAATTTCGAATTAGGAAGAAGGCTTTAAGTAGTATGAGTTGGAAGAAACATTATTAATATATTCAGTCACCTAAATGTACATTATTGTCATCTGGGTTGGTGAAATAAGCTAGTTGGGGACAAAGTATATATTAAAGCGACAATTCTGTCATAAAAAATTGCACATTGCTAATAAAATATAGGATAGGTAGTTCATCACATTTCTTTATCATCTTAATAACATTTTTTGTCTTTTATTGACCTCAATTTTCCAACACAATAATGTTAGATTCCCATTGACTTTACTATGCTATAAATGATACTTCAAATAATTTACCCTTTGTCCATCTCTTGACTAGTTTATAAATGTTTACTTTAAGAAAATGTTCAACATTTGATTTTGACCTAACTTTGACCAACTTAAAACATGCTTATAATCTTCCTCTTTACCTAACATGTGTGTATGTTCTTTCTTTAGGAACAAAGCTATGATAGTGGAGGCAGGAATATTATCCAAACTACCTAAGACAATTGACCTTATAGATAACTCAACCATGAATGAGTTTGCAGAGTTAGTTCTATCATTATCATCACTTGCAAACACACAATTTCCTTTTCCTTCATTAAATTTTCTACCATTTCTCAAAGACATTCTTAAAATAGACACAAACTTTGACACCAAAAGATCATGTTTAGGTGCCTTGTACAACATATCAACAATGTTAGAAAATGCAAGCACTTTGGTTTCTTATGGTATTGTCCCAATTTTGTTGGAACTTTCTTTAGTGAAAGAAATTTCGGAAAAAGCACTTGCTACTTTAGGTAACTTGTTGGTTACTCTAACGGGAAAAAAGGAAATAGAGAAAAGCTCAATGGTACCACAAAATTTTGTGGAGGTTTTGTCATGGGAAGACAAACCAAAATGTCAAGAGTTGTCGGTTTATATTTTGATGATTTTGGCTCATCAAAGTTTTGATCAAAGAGAGAAAATGGCACAAGCTAGGATTGTTCCTATGCTTCTTGAAGTTGTTTTGTTGGGGAGTCCTTTAGCTCAAAAGAGAGCAATGAAACTATTGCAATGGTTTAAGAATGAGAGGCAGGTTAAGATGGGGCCACATTCAGGTCCACAAACACCAAGATTTGCAATGGGATCACCTTTGAACCAAAGGGATAGTAAAGAAGGGAAGAATTTGATGAAGAGTTTGGTGAAACAAAGTTTGCATAAGAATTTGGAAATAATAACTCAAAGGGCAAATTTAAATGGAGAGTCCTCGAAACATAAGTCGTTCGTTGTCAGCACAAGTTCCAAGAGTTTGCCTTATTGAATTCTTTGAATTTGATTAAGTGTCTGCGTAAGTTTGGATTGGCGAAAAATTTGGCTGAATGACATATATCAGAATGATTTTGACAAAACCTATATTACGGAACTTCAAACAAAATTACAATGTCATCGTGATTTCGAAAATCTTGGTTGATTCTTTATGGTGGCTATGAAGATTCACATAGATACAATTGGATTTGAAATTTGATTCAAGTATTATGTATATAGGTGCTACTACACCTATGCAGGTTCTTTAATGTACGTACACATGAAAAATAATAGAGCTTGAAAATGTTACCTTGATATTTCTTGCTATTTCTTGCTGCAACATAAATGAAAACTTTGCAATGAAAGAAATTTTGTTGAATATTTAGGAATTTACACTTATATTGTAAATAATAAATTGGTTTCAACACATAACCAATTCTGATCAATAAAAAAATCACAAGCACTTTGCAAATTCGTTAAAATATATGGTAACCTGTTTGTTTTGATAAATATATGGCAATGATGCAGCTAAGTTGATGAAGTTTGTATAAACAATTTCCTACATAAAGTTGTAAAGAAGAAATCCAAAAACTTTATGGATCACAAATTAAAGAAGACTAACTAAGATGAACCACCGTAACTTTTGGTCAATATAACGCGGTTTTAATAGTTGACGATGGCAATTATGGCATCGGTTACAAGGCTCAAACAACTATTTTCTATTAAAAACATTGATATCTAATTTTAATTTTTATTAAAAATATATATAAGAGTTCTATAACATGTTGTTTCCTCTAACTGAATAAACGAAATTTCACTTCATCTCACACTATTATCTCTGACTAAAGAAATAAATCACTTTGTTTGATGGTCATTTTTTCTCTCAAGAAGACATTTTTTGGATCATCTAATCAAAGCAACAAAAATGAAATTATCAAAATTTAAAGTTGACATCATCTTTACATAATCCTTTAAAGATCAAAGTTGTAATGACTACAAACTTTCCTCTCAAAGAGTCATTTTCAAATCATTACTGATGGAAGAAGTACGATAAAAAATAGTACTCCTTCCGGTCTTATTTATAAGAAAAATATTATTTTTTAAATTCATTGAATAGACAATGTATTTGACCTATATATTGTTCGGATATATTAGTTCTTAAATATATCAAAAAAAATAATTTTTTCCTATAAATAATGTTGTGTTGAATAAGTGATGTGAGTTGGTTTGAAATTTGGGATGAAGAAGAAGTTTGATTGAAATTCTATTGTTTGAAACTTTGTGAAAGTAATTACTCCTTTAGATTTAGGCAAGTTTTTGTTTCGATTAGCTTTAGAACTTATCACTTGTTTGTTAACCAAGCCACATTACAACCTTGAAATTCCCTTGAGATTCTTACTTTTATATTTTCAATGTAAATTTTTGGAAGAATGCATAATTTAGTCTATTGTTTGCAAGATTGTCGTATGAGTGAAAATACCTCATTTTTGTGTGTTTTTCATCTACCGATGATTGTATTTGCTAGGTGTGATTCATTTGTGAACTAGTATTGTTTTAGAATGTTTGGCGCATTCCTTGTATTTAGCATTCGTTTCATGTTTATGTTAAACTCGTAGTTTAGTGGTAAGTGTTTACTTTGTGTGTACTGTTTTTCATTTGAACCATTGCATTTGTATTCCGTTTTCAAAACTTGTTGATTTAGGAAATTTTGGTTCATTACTTTTGGTTTTTTGGGTTATTTGATCTTTGTTTAAGGATAAGTGCAAATTGTAGCTATTTTTGTATATACTTTTTGTTGCATTTATCGATTTTTTGTTGTTAATATCATTGAATAAACCCGACTTTTGTGTAAATACATTTAGTTTGTGTTTATTTGTGTTTTTGTATACATAGGGTACCGTTTGATGTTTTTCAATTTATTTTGTAGGTATTTATGCATATTTGGAGCATGAGCAATAAAGTATCGAAGACACGGCTTCAAACGCGTGATTTTGAGCAACTCGTCAACGAATAAGGCTCAAAGTCAAAGAATAAGAAATCATAAATTTGGTTGATATTTTGTCATTGTTAGAAGGATCATTGACTAAGATTTCCAACGCTTCGAACCGGGCACAAATCAGAGTTACGGTTCAAAAGTTATGGCTGAAACAGTGCAGAATGTTGTGCTGGTTTTTGAACTTACTATCAGCTGTCACCGGGTGATGCTTTTTGGTCGCCGAGAGATACTGAACAGTTAGAAATGTGTATTTAGGGCTAAAAATACATTTTTTTAGGTTGTGTTTTGGGTATTTTTGGTCCCAATTCATCAAACCTCCATTTTTGGTCTTGAGAAGCTATAAAATAACATTGGAGTTGCATCTTGATGATCCAGAGTCGGATTTCTCATCAATCGACGCTGACAATCCATGAGATGTTTGGTTTTTCTCCATTTATTCTCTATGTAATCTCTATTTGTTGGGTATGTTTGTATATTTACTTTTAACATATGTATATTTGTTAATCATGGTGTTGTATAAAGCTTGTTTTACAAATCAATCTTGATGTCTTCTTTGATCTTTTTGCTTTATGTTTGGATTTGGGTTGTTATAGACATATACCTCACAAATCTTGATTAAGAATGGATATCTATTAGTTTCTAGATTCTAGAGATAGATTTAGAGCTAATATTCACTTTGGATGCTAAAGCTTAATGCCTCAGTGTTGTTGTAGTGTGCGAGACATTGTTGATAGAGTAATACGGTTGGTCTCGTGACTTGGCATTAGACATAACCTTCGTTGTGGGTACATCTCGTGGTGACCGTGATGATTTTGACGATTACAATAGGTTGAGTGCAACTTATCAATAGTTTAAGTTTGTGACGAGTAATGTAAATTCCTGCTTGTTAGGTTTCTCCTTTCTATTTAATGTATTTATTTTCTTGTCAATAGTTTTTACCCTTTTCTTACAAACAAACCTATTTAATCCCCAAACTCATTAACAAATGATTTATCGAACGACAATTCAATAACTAATCTTTGTGGTTACGATAAATTCCTGGATAAATATTTCCAAAACTTTTGTTGCTTGCCGTTACACTGCTCTAACAGTCACATAAACTCATAGGGTTGATGTATCCCCTTGGCTAATAGACGAACCTTCTTTCTAAGGGTTTTGAAAAATATTTTTGCAATAATAAGATCCCACCACAGGCGAATAAATACAATGAATAAAATAATAAATAATATAATAAGCAAAAATAAATAATTAAATAAGCAAAAAATAAAAACCCAAAAACAAGAAAACCCTAAAAACCCAAAAACCAAAAGATAAGGCTTCTAAACCTAGGGTTAAGTCCCTAGTGAAGTCGCCAATTGTTGTAACTGGTTTGAAAATTCAGAGTCGCCACCCTTAATTTTTATCCTAAGGAATATAATATAAAGGATAACCATAAAAAAGTTAGAGATTCTAGGTTTTCACTCGGTTTTAGACGAAGGGAAGGTGTTAGGCACCCCTCATCTACCTTGTTCACAAGGATACTAGGGTTAGAAGTACAATTTTTAGGAAATAGGGTTTTAATTTTTATTAGGGGAACTCGCCACGATTTTAGTCGTATGCCATTGTATCCTCTTAGGAGGAATCTGAGTCCCAATTCGTAGTTCGCAGTTGTTGGTTGGTGTTTTTTATGGATTGCATAGAATTGCTTTCGAATTATCCTTGAACCTTGTTTGAGTTGTAAGTAGAGTGATCGTAGACGCAGTTTGCAGTCAATTTGAAAATAATTCTCCTTATTCCTTTTTCGAAAATGATCTTGGATTTTTATTAGGTAAGTATAAAAATGATTTGAATTGTTGGTTAGCTGTTTTAAGTTATAGAGCAGGGGAGTCTGATATAATCTCTTCATCATGTGACCATATATTAGTCACGTGTTGCTCGCGGATGGTGAATTCAGTGAGTTGCATGGATTTTAATTGTTTGATTTTGAATAATAAACCAGTAGACGATATGTAAACCGATATAATTACTCGAAGATGGACATCCTATTATTTATAGAATGTTTGAATTAATGTTTTTTCATATTTTTTGAATAATAATTATTTTATTAAACTAAGTAATGATTAAATGGAATAATTAAAATTAAATTTAGAAAAAACAAACCCTAATGAGGTGTAATTACAAAATGGGAGGTATTGATTAATAAAAGCATAGAAACTAAATGCCATATATCCTAATTTAATCTACATAATTAGACTAATGAAAGGAAAAATAAATATAATAATAAAATGCATGATATATAATTTTACCAAGAGGGAGAGAGAGAAGTCAGAAAAAACTCGGAAGCACCCTTATCCCATATTCTCCATGTACCTTTCTCAGAAACATGTTAATCAACTCAAACTTATTTATCTCTTCTTCCTTGATGGTGATGACTGGATCTCGAGTGGAGCAGGTTCTCACCGGCGTGAGGTGCAAGTCAGGGATGAAAGGAGCAATGTCGTGAGTTGGTGTGGCTACTCTCGTGTTGGCTGGGAGACACGCAGAATGTAACGCCCGTAATTTAATTAATTATTTAATTAAATTATTTTTGGATTAATTGTGAAGAAGTGTTATTAAATTGGATTTATTTTATTAAGTGGAGAAATAATAATATATTTGAGGTATTATATTATTATGTGAAATAATGTTAGAAGCTAATATTATTTAATGTGAGTCTATATGGTGTGAGTGGAAGTAATAAGGGGGTGTAGGTTTTGAGCCCAATAAGGAATAATATAATAATATTAGGTTATTTCATTATTTGTTGTTAGAATAGAAGGAAGAGGCAGTAAGAAGAGAAATAAGGATTTGAGGAGAACGTGAAGCTGCTGGATTTTGAAGGAAACGGCAAGAACAAAGATTCAACCCAGAAATTATAGAGCGACCTTCGATCCAAGGTAAGGGTGGGGTTCTGGCTTTATAATTGGGTTCATGATATTTGATATGTGGGGTTAGAGGATTGCTATTTTTGTTATTGAATTGAATGATGTATGATGAATATT